CTCTAGTAATTGCGATGCCGAATAGGCGTCCATTAAAAATCTGAAAAAAAATTTAGTCCCAAAAATCACCAGGTATGATTTAAGTAATTTAGAAAATTTTACCCATGTATCATACATCTGATTTCTCAAAAACTACTGAACCGATTTTGATGAACTTTGTATTGTTGCCTAACTTGGAATTAATATTATCTCGGTGTGTGATAAAATTGCTATCTATATATGTTCATACATAACATATATATCCGTTTTTGGAGTTGTTAGAATAATGAAATAATCATTTACTTCAAAATAAATAAAACAATTACATCAACATTTGAGATTCGATAAAATTACTTACTTAAAAACGAATAAAAAAGCGATAAATTAAATTTAAAATATTTTGTATAGGACACCAAAATGAACAGCAAAGTTTTATGTAACTTGTTTTGAGCGCTATCAAAATGTCACATATGATTTTGTCAGATCCTGGGATACTTACTTTTCAACAAAGAGCTCCAATTCATTGTAGTTCATAACACTGAGGTATTCGTTTACCAAATGGTCTGGAACAAGTCCTGTCACCTGAAATTTAATTACTGGAATTGTAGCTTGTCAACGAGGAACATAGTGTACTAAATTTAAAACTAAAGGACAAGATAAGAACAAAAAATAAAAATACGTGTGGCACTCGGGGACTGCCGCGGTAAAGCTATTGCATAGCATTTTTATCAACTTATGCAATTATAATTATTTTTGAAGTTATACTTCTTTAGGCGCGTTATGAAAAATTGATGAGAGTGAAATTTTACGATGCGCGCGCACCGTGACACAAAATTAACAGAATGAAGTTGCCCACGGAAGATGCTACGGCATTGGACATAATTTAAAAACAACATTCGAATATATAGAGCAACATTAGAATATAGAATTTATGTTACACTTAATGTAAGAGAATAATAATAAATATTTATTTATTTAATTTTTCAAATGTAAACTGAACTTTATTGACTATAATGACTCCTTTTCCAGTCTTTGATTATTTAATTGTAATTAATTATTTGCTTGCAATCAAAAACTATTTTTAATAATGCCAAAGAAGTATAACTTCTTACGCGCGCCCTTTTTTTTTTACCTCAATCAATCCTTCAGCAGTAATCTTTCCAAGTAATCGCTGGCAACACTGTAATGCTGTGAGTGCTCTACGAAGGTCACCATCACAGGTATGAACTGCTTGCTCTAAAACCTCTCCATCTCCCACATCCACGCCTTCCGACTCACATACCTCTCGCAATCTAAAATAGATTAATATTAAAGAGATCAAAAAAGTAATAAAACAGTCCATAGAAAAAACAGAGGCACTGAGGTCTTTTAATTAGTCTATACTAAAAATATTTAATATGCAATATAAATAAACAGTTTCCCATTTCACATGTCTAATTAGTGTGTAAGACTTTAGATATAACGAATAAGTAATCTATATAAATCTAAATCGGCAAACTGTGTTGCTAAGCTCAAAACTCAAAGCTCATCGTTCATATAATTTGCTTTTTTTCTTGAACTCTAAGATATATTATGGAGAAACTTTAGAAAGAAAAGCGAATTAAAAAAATTTATATTAAAGCGAAACTAGGTTTGCTAGTAACTACATAAGAGGAATAAAATATAATAACTTGATGAATTAAAAAATCTAACATTGAGAACACACATTTGAAGGGTTAGTTCTTTAAAACTGAAGACCACCCAATAAAATATAAACTTCCTAACACTTTTAAAAACAGGTTGGATAATTTCTCCATCTCCGTCAGCTTATTAAGAAATTTAGTGCTCAAGTCACTTTCCATGCAGCTTGATCCCTTGGCGTTGTGTAAAGATGTGGGGTCGCTCTGCATCTTCTACCACATTTACCATGGAGAGTGTTCAGAGGAGTTGTTCGGTCTAATACCTGCAGCTGAGTTTCATCATCGGACGTCAAGGCAAAATACAAAATACCATCCGTATCACCTCGACGTCCGTCGTTCCACAACTGAGTGTTTTCTAAGGCAGTTTTTGCCCCGCACCACCACTATGTGGAACCAGCTGCCCACTGAAGTCTTTCCGAACCAATTCGACTTAGAGTCCTTCAAGAGAAGAGCGTGCCAATTCTTTAAAGGCCGGCAACGCTCTTGCGAGCCTTCTGGCAGTGTGAGTGTCCATGAGCGGCGGTATCACTTAACATCAGGTGAGCTTCCTGCCCGTTTGCCTCCTATTACATAAAAAAAAAAGTAATTGGGCTAGGATATGAACATATAACTTGGGTTGATAGTTGCATGTTCAAACTTCTAAACCATAGACAATATTCATTAGCCTTAATGTACTACTTATTTAAAATCTCACCTTTTAATAACATTCTCTCTGGCCAGTGGTTTAAATCTGAATTTTGAACATCTACTGGTAATCGGTGGGATTATTCTTGATACATAGTTGCAGATGAGACAAAATCTTGTAGTCCTGGTTTCCCTTTCCATAGTTCTACGTAATGCTGCTTGAGCTGCGTTTGTCATGGAATCAGCTTCATCCAGGATAACAAGTTTGTAGGATGGACACGGCTTACCACTGGAATAAATGAAATGAAATATTTTAATACTCATAATTTATTTGATTTCAACTGCCGAATGTAAGTAATTATTTAAGTAAAGGTACCGTAGCGGTATTGGGTTCTTAAAAATGTCTTCACTACATAGTATAAAACAAAGTCGCTTTCTCTGTCCCTATGTATGCTTAAATCTTTAAAACTACGTAACGGATTTTGATGCAGTTTTTTTTAATAGATAGAGTGATTGAAGAGGAAGGTTTATATGTATAAAAACATCCATTAAATATGGATGGACAAATACTGTTATTTTTGAGGTTTCTAATGTGATGTCGTAAATCGTAAATAATTACATTTTTTCCGCTTACATTGCGAACCCTACGAGATTTATCAAAATAATGTACTAAGTATTGCACATTGAAAAGGTGTACAGAAAACTCCGCGATGGTATCTCTCATGGAAATCCCACAATAACATTTTTTTGTCATTTACTTTTTACGACAAATAATGGCTAATTTTCGAAGCGATTTCAACCAATACAGCATTAATCCTTATCCAATTAAATACCTTAAATACATTGTTGATTAATTATAAATCTATATGGCCCTTAACAGCATATGATTTAAATGAATATTTTCGAAGATATTACAAATTTAAAAATTGCGGGACGCAGGCGCGTCGGAGGCCGCGGTTCTCCCTTCACTAGCACTTTGAACTTAGAATCAGCATTGCATCCGTGCGGAGCCGGGGCGGGTCGCTAGTTAAAATAATACACCTTGAAATAAATTGACTGTGCCAGGTGGTTTCTTAGTGTCAGCAAGGAATTGGACTGGTTTAATTAATAAGCCAAACCCATGTAGTCTAATAACAGAAAAACTAACCACTATAAATAATGTAATAAATCGTAGAAAATTATGGATAAGTTCAATTTCTAGCAAAATAAAATTGTTAGAGGTGTGGACAGAAAGCACTTGTGCTTTTGGATAGCTACTGTATATAGCTAATTCAATGAATAATTAAAACTGTCACTTAATTAAAATATAACTTACTCAGCCTTTGTACTGCTTACAGTTAATTGAGCGAATGATTTCACTTTGTCTCTAATAACTTGGATTCCTCGCTCATCTGAGGCATTCAACTCTAACACCCGATCACGAGTTATATCACCAAAAAGTTGACGAGCAGCAGCCAAAATTGCACTTGTCTTTCCTGTACCAGGTGGCCCATAGAACAAAAGATGGGGCAAATCACTACCTGATAAGCTTTCTCTTAAAACTTGCACAACTTCACCCTGGTCAACTATGTCATCAATTGTTTTTGGTCTACTGAAAAAGTATCATATTTTATTGAGTAATCACACTAAAGGTTACAAACTTAAAACCAACTTCTAAAACAGTATGTTACTATATGAAATAATTCAAAGAAATTAGTTTATATCTGTTATACATATGCCAGACTAATAAATTAGACAGACAAGAGTTTAAAAGGTTTTTTAAATTCCTTTAGCTAACATATGACATTGGTCAATCATATTGTTTAACTTAAGTATGGATATTAACATCTAGCAACAAATAAGACACTTGATTATTATTAAAAATACTAATCTACTAGTTTAAAATATGTACTTTTATTTAACATATATTAAGCGTTAAATAAGATTTGCCAAGTATATGCTCTATTGTTTTCATGTGTATTACTGATGTAATAATGTTTCAACAAATTTAATTTATTTCTTACTATTTTTCAACCCAAGGTGCTGGGGGCTTTTTCTTGTTTGTCTTTACGCCCGATGATCCAGCCTTTTCTGACGCCGAGATTTTTCCAGTTTTTAAAAATGCCTGCATTTTAAAGTATTACTAAGAATGTACTATGACGCTAGTGTTAAAAATGATTCCTTTTTACGTTAAAATTTAAATGGTTATTAATTATTATTTTTAAACAAGATTGGTACAAAAAGTTGGAACTTTTTAACAGGCTTTTCTTGAGATCCGCGCCGCGGCAAATTGAAAATTACTTTATCAAAGTTTGATAACTGACAACTGACAACTTTGAACGTCAGTCGTCAGCTTAAAGATTTCCATTTCATAATTCATACTGCTAGCAACTTTTTTTATTGAGCAGCAGTTGCATAAATAATAATAAAATTCGTAATACACTTATTGGGTTTTAGGGGACGTTTTAATTGAAAGGAAATCTTTATATTTTCCTTTGTTGTATAAAGCATATTTCCATATCTGTGAAATACAAGAAATGTAACCTAGTCTGTACGGAAAACGAATTATAAACATTCGAATGGCCTAAAGGTCTAGATACCAGGCCATAAACTCCAAAAAAAAAAAAAACATTAGAAATTAAAATTTTCGCTCCATTTCTGAATTCTGTGTAGTTTGAACTTTGAGCACAATCTTGAAAGTTGAAACTAATTTAATTACGGTATTACCGGAACATTACAATGACGACGAGATCTAAAAAGAAAGTTGGGCCTATTCAACCTACTGTAATTACAAAAAGCCGTATAGAAAATTCTTGGGTTATGTTAATAAAAGGTATTTGTAAATAGTACTAATGTCTAGTGTACTAATTGGAAACTATGTTTTATTAGTTATATTAATATTTTGTGAACATTCATTTCAGATACGCTCTTTAACAATAATAGCTTTAGGATAATAACTTTACCGCACCCGGCACACGGCTCGCCTTCAAAGTACGTTTTAGATAAGTCGAATAAGAAGATGTATGAAGTAGTGACATTCAGTGAACCATTTAGATCTTTGTTCATAGGAGAAACCGTGAAATCTGATGGAAGTATAATGTTAGTGACTCCTGTTAACCCCGTATTTTTAGGTATGATGGTAAAACGACTAAATTTAATAAAAAATAAAATAAAGAAAATATTTTCTTTAAAAAACATAGAAAATAGATCCCTTATAGTGCTAATATATCATAACTAGTTAAATATAACTCTAGAGTGAATTGCTGACTTGATTTTATAAACACACTTTCACAGCTCTTCCTAGACTGCGTGAACAGTGTACAAGCAGGGCAGTGCCTTTAGAAGATTTATTATCTGAAAAAGGCTTTCATGAAATTGTAGAGTTTATTGGAGACTTGGAGTGTGTTGCAGACTTAAAGGTAAGTAAAAACAAAAATAAATTATTGTTATGACAAAGACATTTTGCTATTCAGATGACAATCTACATAAGTAGTACTAAAATATTTATGATAGATATCAAAGCAAATTTATTACATAATTTAAGTAACAACATGACATCTTTATTCTATTAAAGAAATTTTATTCTAGAATTAAATATCAATTATTTTAAATTATTTGTTTTTAAGGGTTCTGCTGAACTGAAAGCCTACAAGTACAGTGAAGTTAAAACCATAGAGTGGCTGGAAAGTAAAGTGAGAAAATTAGCAACACTATTAAAAAACAAACAGATACATGTTACTTCTGGATCAAGTTCTGCAACATTTGTCTCTAGTACATTGAATAATGACTCAATTGACGAAGGTAAATTTAAGTTTTTCTATCAATAATAAAAAACAGTGACATCACAATACTTAGTTTTAGGCACATATTGCAATTGCACAAGCTGTAATTTATATTTAAGTTTAAGCATGCCAGTTTCCACATAATATTTTCCAATTTATGAGCAAGTATTATATGCACACATAGGAAGAAAAGTATCAATGTACTTTGCTTTTTGCATGACCATAATTTGAATGCACTACCTCAGGACCGAGAGTTGCATAATTTAGCTTAGCACTAATCATAATAGATAATATAAGAAGAAGATTAGATTAGATACAATTAAAATGTATGCAATATTGTTTTTTTTTTTTATTTATGCAGCATGCTTGTGCCAAAATTATCTTTATACCCTTTAAAATAGTTTCCTTTTTTTATAATATTGAAGAATACCTTTAAGAAACATATCTTTTCATCTATTTTATTATAATGCCTTGTTTAAAAAGTGAGTTTTCGTATAGAAATATTTCCTTTCTTTGAAATGACATTACAATAACAAAAAAAATTTCAGAATTTTACCTGAAGTATGCTCATGGAATTATTTCGGAATATCTAGAAGATGACTTAGTTGACTTGTTGGAAAAGAAATTTGCATTTAAATCAGAACTTATAGAGTCTGTTGGAAAACGTAAATCTGATGCCAGTGAGTTATTAGAAGCCAATAAAAGAGTTAAATGTGAACTTAATGAAGATAGTGAAATTATGGATACGAGTTTTAATTCAAATGTGGTAAAGAAACAGAAACCCTTAACAGCCAAAGAAAAGGCAAGACAGAAAGCAGCAAGTGGTACAAAGACAATATCCTCATTTTTTACAAAAAAGTGATTACTATTAAATGAATTGTAAATTATTACGATTTTTATTATTGCATTAAATGCACATTTGTATATTTGTTAGTTATATATGTGAAGTTGTAATTCAGTTGTCAAACTTAAAGGTAAATTCAATTTTTTTTTAAATCTTCCACAAGTCATCAATAAAAGATGATTTCTTATCGGTAATCCCTAATAAAAGGAGTGATATCAATAAGTTGATACAGTTTCCTACTTAAATTGATGTTTAATGTAACATTTTCGGTTAACTCGATTCATTGAACTTGGCATTTCAAATAACGCGCTAAATTTCAATTATTCGTTTGAAATGGCAACATTGCTTCTCCGCCAATCACCATTGAGAAAACCGACGTCCATATTCGTTCCTATTACTTTACGGACATTCAGCAAACATCTTAAAAATTGACTTTTTTAGTTATTTTAAGTGTTTCTTGGACAATTTAGACTTTGTGCAGTGACCTGATGTGATATTAATAGTGATTTATTGTAATTAAAGACTCGTAATAAAAAGTTTTAATACTAAAATCGCGGCCAATGTCAGCAGGCGTGTCAGATCAGGTATTTCGTATTAATGCTTATTTTTTTTCTCTATATAATTCGTCTTAATGGTCTAGCTTTGTATTTTTTAATAAAAATATTCTTTGTTTCATGTTCTTGGTGAACAGCGGATGAAAGGGCAAGGGAATCAAGGTAAAGATGCTATTATGACGTTGCAGGTGTTTAAAGAGTGCCTTGTAGCACCGGGCGGCTTGCATCCGGTATATTTTGTGAATGTACATTTACTGTTTGTCATTCATATCACCTGATTTGTATAGTAAACTTTTTATCATGATTTAAAAAAAAAATGTATACAGCTCTAGTAAAGGTCTATGCATCAGGTGCGAAGCATTTTCGTAAATCAAGCTATACTGAAAATGAAAATATTAATTTTGTTCACGGAAAACTGCAGCACTGTTAATTGGGGTTGTAGTTTAAATGAAGATGAATGATCTTCAATTACATATAATATTCATAATTTATTATTATGTAATAAGATTGTTATCCTACAATATGATATAAAGGAACAGCTAGATAAAAATTCTTAGAATACTTAGATTCAATATCTGAGTGTAATTTTTATTGGAAAAGAAAGACTAGCTTAGTCAACACCTCAGTTGGTAACGGGCATGCATGCATGATATGGTTTAATAAGTTAAGGAACTTTAAATTAATCTTCAATTATTATAGAATTGTGATCACATACCTGTTTTTTCATCTGCTAACATTTTGCATTTGTTATCACAAAATTTTTATGTCACCTGTTCACAGTATCAAATGCACCTAAAGAGCATCAGTTAGAACGGGGAGGTGAAGAGTTGTCAGAGGTGTCATGGCGTCATCAGCAGCAAGCATCATATGCACCACCCATCTCGTCAGCAACAGATCCGTACAGCGCAGCAGGTAGGTACATATTTTTCATATTCATATATTGTATCCAACACAAAGTAAAATACTTGTATGATTAATTAGTTAAAACAAATTTCAAACAGAAGTCAATCTTAATTTCCACAGTCTAATAAAAACTAAGATTAATTTGTAATTAAAATTGCATGTTATCCAATTCATTATTGCACTAATCACCTTTAGTTGTGTATACATATGTAATAAAAAATATATTAAGTTTAATTTGTCTTTCTAATCAGCCCAGGCTCATATAAGCATACATGGTATGCATATGTATATGAATTTAAAATATGTTTATCCTAATAATGGAGCATAAATACACTAACATAGTTTTTTTCCTATATTGGCAGCTACGGATTCAAAATTAGTTTTAATGTGATAAAAAAAAGTATTACAAAAAACATTCTACTATGGAACAGGTTCATAAAGATACAAATAATATTTAAAAAAAGATTTAGAACAACAAAAAGTGTGGTCCACAGTCTTTCTGGATGTAGGCCAGGCATTTGACACATACGAGTACTTGTGTATAAATTACCTCGACATTTCTCAAATATCCTTGAGTCATATTTGATATTTGCTGCAGTTGTACGGCTGTTTCAAAATTCAGCTATGTACAGTTAGCTAGTTATGATGCTGGAGATCCATGTTCAAACGCGAGAAGAGTTGAATCTTCATTACAGTAAATTGGCTACTTAGAAGGTTTTACACACTCAGTGCAAAATAATTATTTGTGTATAGATTAACGGTTGCCAGCTGTGGGTTTGTAGCAGTAAGAGCTATATTATTATATAAGTGCTCAGGGGAATAGTCAACGGTCCCTGATATGTTCGTAAAGACAACCTCCATCAGACCTTGAGTGACAGGATGTCGCCAGTACATTTACTAAGATTGCTGGAGGTTGCGAACGAAAGCTCCAGAAAACCATTTGAATTAATGAATAAGTTTTATTACTTGGTATTGTTAAGACATGACACAGTGGTAATTGAAAAAAATGAAAAGCTAGAAGAGTGTGTTCCCCTTAATAGAGACTGTAACTTTCTTAATGTTAATGTTAAAAATCCTTATTAGTAAATTAGAATAGATTTAAGTTATTAGTCTTTAAGTTAAGGCTGCATTGTCCAATGATGTCTCTGTGAAGAGACAATTTATAAAAATTATTATGAGACCTGGGTTGTTTGAGTTTGCTAATACAAACACATATTTTACTATAATCTTAAGTAATATCGGATACAATAATATAGTAGTATAATGCTATAGTCTTAATCATTAATATCTAAAGCCATACATTGTTGTTTCAGGTTATTACGGTACAACAGCACTTCCTTATCAAGCCTTCGGAGTTGGGGATGGAACATGGTCTACCAATGGCACAGACCCAATGACTTTTCTAGGAGGATACAATCCTCACGATTCATATGGAGTGGACGGTAGCTAGTATTTATTCCAGTTGGCAGAGTTTAAAATATCACCTAGCTTATAAACTTCTATGCCAAATTTGAATAGATTACTAAAGTAGGTTAAAGCTACCATTAAAAGTAATTGAAAAAATGTTCCATCCATCAAAACCAACATTATATTACAATCATAATTGATAGATTATTTATGCATTACGTAAACATTTCAGGTGTGTTCGGACCGTCGACAACCCCATTTTCCACCGCCGCATTTGGTCAACCGGCATCAACATTCAACTATTTCCCAGGAAACGGTGATTATTCCACTTGGGGCCAGCTGGGTCGAGCTAAACAGTATGACGATTACTACAGAGCTGACGGGCTGTACGTGCCAGACGGTATCAAAGCAGTGGAGACCGGCGTTCAGGCGCTGTCCCTCGGGGAGCACAAGCATGACAAAGATCGCGCCGAGCTCAAGGATATATCGGGCGGATCGCAACCCAAAAAGATGACATGGGCGTCCATCGCCAGCCAACCGGCCAAGCCGGCGCCGTTGTCCCAGACTGGCGGTTTGAAGAAAAAAGGGCCGGGCATGCCCCCACCGCCGATAGTGCCCGGGAAGCACAATATGGACATTAGCACTTGGGATGCAGGGAAGAGCGCTCCTGTAGCGTCTGCCCCCCCGCCCCCGGTGCTCCAACCCCCTTCTGTGCCTGCCCCTCTGCCGATGCCTCAGCCGGTTCCGCCGCCGGCCCCCATGCGATGCCCTCCTCAGCATCAGCCTCCCCCCGGCGTGGACCCACGCCCCTCGCGCCCCCATTCCTGCTCAGCCCCGGCCTCCGCTTCCCACTCCCCCTCCGCCGTCCCTGCCCCCTCAAGTCTCCGCTCCGACCGTGCCCCACCCGGTACTCGACGAACTCCGCGTTAAAAATGATTACAACCCTAAAGACTTCGATCTCACCGCCCCTCTAACCCGATTCTTCGTCATCAAATCGTACTCCGAGGATGACATCCACCGCAGCATCAAATACGAGATCTGGTGCAGCACGGAACACGGCAACAAGCGTCTCGACTCGGCTTTCCGCGATCGCGAACGGGAGGGCGGCTGTGTGTATCTCTTTTTCTCGGTGAACGGCAGTGGACACTTTTGCGGGATGGCCCGTATGGTCAGTGCGGTAGACTACAACTCAAACTCTAGCGTGTGGTCTCAGGACAAGTGGAAAGGACAGTTTCGTGTTAGGTGGATTTACGTTAAGGACGTTCCGAACGGGCAGCTGCGTCATATCAAACTGGAGAACAACGAGAACAAGCCGGTGACCAACTCTCGCGATACCCAGGAGGTGCCCCACGCGAAGGGTCTGCAAGTGTTGCGTATAATGCATAGTTACTCCCACTCTACGTCGATTTTCGACGACTTCATCCATTATGAGCGTCGTCAAGAGGAGGAGGACTCGCGTAAGGTGCCACATCCGGCTCCGGTTCAGGAGAACCATCGCGAGGAGCACGACGGCCGTGGATATCGCAATTACCGTGATTACCGTGACAGGGATGGCCGTGACGGTCGCGATCATAGGGATGCTCGTGACGGTCGCGATGCCCGTGACGCCCGTGACGGTCGTGATCATCGTGATCATCGTGATCGCGACCCCAGGGACAACCGCGATGTGAGGGATGTAAACCGTGACTATAAAGACGATAGGGACGGCCGTGACAATAGGGATCATGGCTATCGTGACCGGGACAATTACCGGCCTCATAAGGTAGGTTTTATAGAGATAAGGCATATTAATCTTATTCTATTTTTATACTACTTTATATTCAAATGTAAAATGTAATTGTAAAAATAAGTTGTTAGTTCCTGAAAACTAAAATATTTCTATAATTATTTATAGTATTCTTGGCCAAGTCATGCTAAAATTTTAATTAGAGAGAATAAATATGTTACCTTATATCACATAATGTACTCTAAAAAGTGTTTTTTAATATCATAAATAAATACTTTAATTATATTCAAATATTGCAGGATCGCGATGGTTCTCGTGGGCGTGGAAGACCTCGTAACTAGTTGAGGTCCAGGACTAGCTTCTCTCCATAGAAAACAAGTTATCATTGGTACCGCAGCAGATGTATGCATATACATGAGGAACCTAACAGTTGAACTACATGTGATGAACAATTTAATAGTATATGTTGAACAGTGATTCATTTAAAAACATTCATCAAATTTAATGTGTTAATCAACTGAACATTGACTAGTGAACAGGACATTTGATAATCGTGTGATGATTGTGGACTTTTCAAAATCGTGGACTGATACAAAACGGTAATTTTATAGGGAAATCTGTGAGAGGAGTTTGATCCTTTGTGAAATTGTATGTATAAACATCAGTGCACTGTGGGTCTCATGTTTCTGTTTATAGCGACGGCTATAAATTTTATATAAATGGAATTTTATATACGGTTTTTAAAGTAAATTCTCTCGTAATCGATTGATTGGTTCACACAAAACATGTACAGAATTTTGTTTTATGTGTACATATAATGTGTATTAATAACATATAATTTAAGTGAAACAACAGTGTGACGAGAGATTTAAAGTTTTATTTTTAACGCGCCCACCTTATTTTTAAAGTGCCTTTTCATTTATGAATAAAATCAATTGGATTTGTTTTAGCTGATAATTGTCACATTTTCTCAATATTTTAATACCTTTTGTAAATCTATGAAATTTATTTTTCATATTTATATTGTAGGAAATGGTTTTGTTTTATGCAAACAGCATTTTATCCCCATACGGTGTTCATTTAAGAATCTGTGTGACACAATTATTATGAAATTAAATCACTGATAATGAATTAAAGCCTGTCATAGACATTGTTAAAAATTATTATTTTTTTCACCTATTTGACATTTTACTACTGCATACTCCTTCCTTATGAGCCTTTTAATAGAAGTAATATGCCTGGCTGGTAATATTAAATAAATTATTGTCTGTTTTATTACATACATGCGATAATTTCAACAAGCAAGAACAAATTTCATCCAGTAATCGAAAAGAGGATTCCGCACTTACACTTTCTTATTATGCACTTCCGTACAACGACGGGGGCAGGAATGGGTCGCAAGTAGTAGCGTGTTAAACACAGATATCTGATATACCTCAATAGCCTAGACATATTTTCAGTAAATATGTGAAACGGATCCTAATCGAATTCCGTTTATAAATAATAATTGATATCAAGCAGATGACAAAGTAAAATAGTAATTGACATCAGCGACATCTATTGGAAAGAATAAATAGTACTATATCTTTAGATCTCTATTTGGATGTCGCTAAAGTTAGTCGTCGTATATATTATATAACTACGATTTAGGAGTCATACATAATCAAAGGAAGGTAAAATAATTAACGTTACAAATGGTTGATACATGTTTTGAAACAATGTGATGCCTATAGTATAATTTAGTCTATGGTAAACACTACTTATTAGTAGTAACTATTTATTAAGATAATATTTATGTACCCAATTTTAAGTTCATAAAGATTCTTCAGATACGAAAGATTATAAATAATAATTTATACAAAGTAAATTATTTATTTATAATTTATATCAAAACTTCACAGTTCTGGTAAGGTTGTGTTTATGTTTTGTACGTCATCCGTCATTTGTCAGCTATCAAGAGTAAACTTTGAAGTCTCGGAAGGCTCGGTACTCAGTTAAGTGCGAATTGTGTTGTTTACCTCGCACATTTTGCTTTCACTAGCAAATGTTTACATTTATAATTGCTCCTTAGCACTATTGATTTAGTGAACATGGCTGAAGACATAAAAAGGACTAAGCTTTGTGTAAGAGAGCTGCAAAACGTATTGTGTGCCATTCAGAGCCTTTCGACATCCTCGGCGACCAGTGTTCTACTAGTACTCGCATTTTAGTTACGGTCATCGAAGTGTTACAACGTCTCCGGTATTATCAAAACAATGTTATCGAGTTCGTATCAAACATTGATATATGAAATGCGATAATATAATTAGTTTTGTGCGGTAATAAAACGAACTTAGTGTGTGTGGACCAGTTTTAGATATATTTGTAAAAATGAGACATGCAATCGACCGAAATGCAAAAAAGTGTATCAGTGCAAGTAGATAGTGATTTCGCGCTTTTTCTACCCGGTGGTGTGTACGAAATTAAAAAAATGGAACCAAGATCGAAATTACGGAAAGTGATTCTATTTTGCTTATTGCTCTCCTTGTTTGGGATGGTGGCATTTGGATACTTCTGCCCAGATCAGGTTAGTTCATTCAAAATAGTGATAGATAATTTAAATGAGCAAATCGCAATACTGTTTCAATAGTGAGTAATTGTCTTTTTTAAAATGGGTTGACCATTTTTTTTCTTGTTATATTGGAAGTTAAAAAATTTATTTGCTTAAATCCATAAGATTTCATGTTAGTTACTGACAAATTGCAGTAATTGTGCACTAACTCAGATATTATAACATATTTTTCCTTATAAATCTTTTTAAATTATCCAGTCAGTAAATTTATTAAGAGACAAATTTTATATGTAAAGCATTATTTATAAAATTTATTGAAATAGATTGACTTGTTTTGCTACTCTACTAAATAAAATTATTACTAACTCTATAAGTTGCCAAAATTTATATTTTAAATCCATTGTAGAATACGATAACAACTGAAGATTGACTACATAGGTACATGTTAAGTGTTTTAAACACTTTTGATATTGTATAACTTCATAAATTGTTTACTTACTAAGCACCATATTATTTACTTTTTATTTATAAATAAAATTCAATACCTATGTAGATAGTAGTAAAGGTCATATTTAAAAAATATAACTTTTTACTTGCCCATATCTATATGTTAAATAACTTTAGGATAACAATAATAAAAATTAATTATTTCTATTATGGACAAAAGAGTACTTTTACTACTAAGCATATCCTACTTGTATTGCTATGTTTTAAGCTATGTGTAGAGCTCTGGAGTTACTGGTGGTAAAAAAATTTCTTATAAAAACAAAATAACTTTACTGAGAATATAGGATATGTTTATGAAAATGACTAAACACTATTTTATAAGTTAAAAGGAAGTGATGTGGGTGTAAAGATGCAATTTAATATATGTAAATCATAGGATAAACTGTTCAAATAAGTAATCTTTATCAAATCAAATCAAAATACGTTTATTCAATTTAGATGCTTCTTAGAGCATGCTTATGAATGTCAACAACGTTTACAAAATTCACGAAAGAGCAAGACTACGCCATCCGTTCGCAAAACTACCAGGAGGCCTTGTTCTGAGAAGAACGGGCAAGAAACTCAGCAAGTTTGCCCTCCCTTTACATTACAATTATTCAAAGGAAAATGTCATAAACCACAACGTCATTAAAGTTACATAAGTAAAAAAAATAAAAATCTGTTCTGTGATTTATCACATTCACCATTACACACATATTCATAACACTTCAAAGATAACCAATCAAATTATAAGAATATAATTAGAACTATTGCCAAGCGTTTTTATCTTCCAGGTATTATATAACCTAAGTCATAATAAGCTTATTATATTATGATTTGGATTAATAAAAGGAAGTTCATACTTTTTATTCATACAATTTTATTGTTTTGAAATAAAAATATATGTATGTAATATTTTCAAAGTTACCTATGAATTTTTTTAATAAGTAATAGTAGTTATAATAAAAAACCAACTGTGCTATACTTCTACTTATAGCACATTCGTAATGCATAGCTATTTCTTTTGTAGAAAGTGCATTTAACGGTCTACTTCTACTTCAATGATTTTAATAATATACTAATTTAAAATCATTCTAAAAATAAATTTGAATAGAGAATGTGTTTCCCGAGTTGGTAGGAAAACCGGTTCATTGTATTTACAATCTAGGTCCATGAATGAGATGACTCTTAACAAGTCACAGTAACAGTGACTCCGCTAATTAAAAGGGGTGGCATACAAATGGTATACATTTGTCTTGCTCGACAAATGATTAGCAAAGGTTTCTTTTGACATTGCTAATTTAATGATGTCTTTGACACTAATTTCTGTCACAGTATTTTTGTCTATGGCATCACAATCTTGCATTTCTATCTGTGGGTAAAGCTTCTTTACTTTACTGTTTCGTGTGATAAGTCTCTCATTGTGTTAATTTTTTATTACGATTCTCCGGATTTTGGATTAAAGAGTACACTGCCTTTAATCCAAAATCACAACAGCACTTATGTTACTACTGTAATATCTCCAAATGACCAGACTATAGATTATTTTCCGTTCTTGGTGTGACTTCTGACTAAGACGCTGAAATCGCTGTTAGCGATAAGGCCGCCCGTTGCCTATTATCTTAATATATATAAATTACGTGTCACGTTGTTTGTCCGCTATGGCCTCCTAAACTACCTACCGAACCGATTTCAATCAAATTTGCACACCGTGTGTAGTTTGATCCAACTTAAAAGATAGGATAGCTTACATCTCAATTTAAACCCTCAAAATGATTGAAGAATATTTGTTTATTATTTGATAGTCACAATTCTAACAGATGGCGCTGTGTTGAAAGTACCAACGTTTCAAATAAGCTACAATTTAATGGCATTACCACCAAAAAAGCATGGTGTTCCCCATGACTCGTGTTCTCCTACCGTTTCCCTTGAATAGGTTACTCTTCATATGCTATGTAATATGACTAAAACCTTAGCCACGCAACGCTTGGCCGGTCTGCTAGTAACTTATATATATATTTGCTTTTTTTATATGCCTGTATGATTTTGTATATTATGGTAACGAAAGTGTAAATAAATAACACGAAGTCGAGTTCCCTGTATTGTTTCGCTTATAAACGCACAATATTCTCGTGTATCTTTACGTCAAACAATATTGTAAAAAACGACTGGAACTTCATTACTAACTTATATAGAAGTTTAAAGATTTTATGACCGAAAGTTACCTGATGAAAATGTTGAAAGCGTTCCGGGCACGTTCCGTTCCGGCTGCAGCAGCTTGCTGTGTGCTCTGGTACATCAGCAAGCTCCAATACCCGGCTTGTTTAGCAGCTAAAGAATTTTTCCAACTCGTCGGAAAGCGTTATAAAGTTTAGACAGGTTCATGTTTGCAAACAACCCTTTAAATAAACATTTATTTTTGTGTTTGCATATAACTTAAGCTCTAAATTAGATATTAGTTACGAGATTTCACTAGTTATATTAGCGTATGTGGAACCAGCCGCCCACTGAAGTATTTCCGAACCAATTCGACTTAGGGTCATTCGAGAAAAGAGCGTACCCTGTAAAAGGTCGGCAATGCACATGCGAGCGTTCTGTGCGAGTGTCCATGAGCGAGTATCACTTAGGGAGCGTTCAAGTATTACGTAACGCAATTTTTGGAGATTATTGAGCCCCCCCCCTCCTCATGTAACTTGTCGTAACGTTTTTCAGTACCCATGTACAGTACTGTACCCGAGTATATTAAAACGTTTTGTGACCACCTAGTGACTCTTTAGTTACTATTATGTGGTCGACAAAAATATTAACAATAACGTGTAATTTAATCCCCGCCCCGCATTGTATATGCAATACGTTACCTAATACTCGAATGATCCCTTAGATACAGTGAGCCTCCTGCCCCTTGTTCTTTAAAAAAATATATACATATATAATTTCAGTTGTATGTTTATTATGGAATATAAGATACAGGTATCACTTAATCCACGTCATTAAATTTGAATCGGTAGTCATCCCTACTCATCGGCAAAGAAGACAGAGGCTGTAGGCCGAGAGAAAAAACCGGCGTAAAAAACTCTCGGTACTCTTTTAAAATATCAAAAACATAGAAGAAACCAGAAGAAAGGAGATACGGTCTGCTCTTTATTTGTATTAAATTAGAAAACTCATAACTAATCACTGTAATATGTAAAATGTTTGTTTAATGTTTTGACTTTTAGTTCCTAAAGTAAATTAATGTTGCTTCAACAAGTCCCAAGTGAACATACAAATGTGACATAGTTTAGAACCAATTCAAACAAATGTTGGAATTAATATTTGAGTTTGGTGTTCTAGGGTTTCATGTGCTAAATTTCATAAATACAACTAGATCATGGCTTCAGATATCATTGATAATTTTTCTAAATAGAAATATTAAAGTATTACGTACGCACTGTATGAGGGGGGGGTCTTTGATTTTCTTATTTGGTGATTACGTCAACAGTAATTATTTACTTTTTTACACATTGTCTATGCTTGAAAACGAAATGCATTTTCGGGGATTCCTACAAAAAGTTAATACGTTTATGTACTATTGTTTTTGAGAAGCTTCACTTCTGACATGTGTACTTTGTACGCACGCACTTTTTTTTTAACTTTCCTTAATAAAATTACAATAATATTATCCAAGGTGTGGAAAATTATTCATAAGTTTTTGGGGGGTAAGGCAAGCAGGTTTCCTCACGATGTTTCCTACATCGAGCGAATGTTAAATGCGCACATAGAAAGTACATAGGTGCACAGCCGGGGATCGAAGACCTCAGGGATGAGAGTCGCACGCTGAAGCCACTAGGCCAACACTGCTCGTTACATTACATCTACTGTATGTTCAGTGCACGTGTCGACGTCTATATAGGGTGTGGTGGGGCTGCTATTGTGTACGGCATATTAATGGACAGGATAACACCTGGGCTTATAGCTCAGGTATATGATAGGTACGAATACGGTAACTCACTCGCGAGCCTCTGGCATTGAGTGTCCATGGGCGGCTGTATAACATCAGGTGAGCCTCCTGCCCGTTTACCCCCTGTTCTATAAAAAAAAAACAACTGAGTGTTATTTAAGGCAGTTGTGCAACTATGTGGAACCAACTGCCTGCTGAAGTATTTCCGAACCGATTCGAAGTAGAGTTTTAAGAATAAATGTACCAATTGTTTAAAGGCAACGCGAGCCCTTACACACAGGCTATGTTTTATTATTTAATTGTCGTGAGGGTGGGTGTAATGCTATGTAGAGTGTATCATTGTATGGCCGATTATATGCCGAGTGATTTCGCTTAGGGGGTTTCTCGTTAAATCGATGGAAATAAGTAACACATGAAGTTGACTGTATATCCTACTTGTAAACCACTTGGCCAAACCACCTAAGCATTCCCTTTCGTATCCTTGTCTTCTCCTGTTTTAACCCACACTGATAAAGGACTGGCTTATGAACACACATTACGCAGTGTTGGAGATGCTTCTGTGAACTAATATGTTGTTATACATTTCACTCACTCACATGCACCCACACACTCACTCATGCACTCAGGCGTGTTGAAAACAGTTGGAAAAACCAAAATAATTAAAAAAAGATGTAATTAAATTATATATTCTATGGAATACTAGCTGGCCTGGCGAACATCGTACCGCCAAACAGTCGATTCTTTATTTTTTTTTAAATACTTATTCTGCTATTCGGGACACCGGTCTAGCTAGTAAGATAAAAAAAAAGAAAGTTGATAAGACAAAAAATACATTATGTCAAAAAATTAAAATTTACCTTCCCGGAACCCCTCCACTGACACTTGAACTTTATGATATGGTATTAAAGTTCAAATTGACTTTTAACTATTATAACGAATATTTTGTATGGGAATATAGAAAAGTGTTGAAACTTTTTCACTCAATTTTTTTTAATTTTTCTCTCCGTAAGAACCATCCTCGTACATTAAGAAATATTATAAGAAAAGAATCAGACAAATCGGTCAAGCCGTTTTCATGTTATGTCGTGACAACGGAAAACGGGTTTCATTTTTATATATATATACTAGTGGACCCCACAGACGTTGTCCTGCATGATATTTAAAGCGATTAGGATATTAAGCAAAGTATGAAAGTACCGACTGCAGTGCCATCTGCCGGGCTGATTTGTGAATCTAAACCATTCCCAGATCCCCTTGAACACACACAAAAAATTTCATCAAAATCGGTCCAGTCGTTTGAGAGAAGTTCAGTGACATACACACTCACAGAAGAATTATATATATAAAGATAGATACTATAAAGTTTATGGAAGAGCTGGGAACAACAGGTATTTTTTTACTTAAAAGGGTTCCCTAATCTTACACATTATATTGAATTGTTGTCAAATATTTTTTTTTTTACTGTTAAAAAAAAGATCCCTGCTATATGAGATCTAAGAACTTAGATACTAAACTAAACGGCACGCCAATAGTGTAAATGTCATGTCATAGTATAAATATACATACTGAAAGTGGTCGGCCTTTATAGATGTGAGCTTCAATGACAAAAGCAAATTGTGTAGAATAGTTTTATTATATATTATCTTATTTAAAAAATAATTTTGGATTTGAAGCAGCAAGCCACTAGCTTCAAACGTAGTTATGGACATGTAAAGGCTTGAACATTGAGATTCGCCACATCTGTCCACCACCAAATCGTTACAATTGGAAATCAAATAAACAAATATAAGAAATTAATTAGGAAAACATATATATACAGCATACTTAGGGGGCGTCCATAAATTACGTGAGGTGTTTTTTAAAATTTTTGGTACCTCTCTCCCCCCCTGGTGAGATGTCGTGAGATTTTATTCAACCCCCTCCCCCATGCCTTAATCTCACGTGAGATTTTTCAACTAGCTAACTCTTTGAGCTCGGAGAACTCAACATAACAAAAAATTCGTACTTTTGAGCTCGAGGAGAAATAAGTGAAATGTTGAGCGTTTAGGTATGGAGTTAGCGGGAAGTTGCAGAGATGGCCTTTAGGGTCAACCGTTTTCCTAATTTTTTTTTGCAATCGGAAATAAAATTGCGTGATATTTGCCGAGACCCACCCCTCTCTCCAACGTAAGATAAAATGAGATTTGACTCGACCCCCTCCCCCCCATTAAACACCTCACGTAATTTATGGACGCCCCCTTACTTAACCTACATAGTCTAATATATAAAATTCTCATGTCACAATCACCATACACCTCCGAAACGGCTCGACCGATTCTTATGAAATTTTTATGCGTATTAAGTAAGTCTGAGAATCGTCTACTATCTATATTTCAAACCCCTAAATGTAATGGGTTTTCCCACCCCTAATTTTTTTATTTTTTGACAAAACTTTTTTTTTTATACGATACAGTATACAAAAAAACATACAACCCTTAATTGATATCCCTCTACGATCAACCCTTATTTTTTATTTGTTAATTCAAATCTTATGACTTGTACTCTGAGGTTTATATAGAAAAATTCACAGAAAAACCTAAAAAGTTTTCATTCCAGAAAACCGAACAGTCTCTGGGGTAGCATAGCAAAATGTTCCATGTATTAAAAAGGTAGGCTAAATAAAATCGCATTGAGGAGAAACGAAGTTCGCGCGGGCAGCTAGTAGTTATAATAATAATTAAATATGGAAAAAATTAAACAAATTTAAAAGTTTGGCCCCTGTGGCAGTCGTAGTACTTTTAATGCTGGCTTTTCCTCGCGGTATTGCGAATACTTATACGTTGAAAGCACCAGCTCGGAGTCACCGGTACTATCTACCAACTTAAATCTTTAATTAGCTGTACACTTGAACCCACGAGAATGTAAGTGCGTGCTCCTATTTCACAATGCCTCCTGCTGATAGAGGACAAATCTTTGTTTTTAATTTATTTTATTATTATTAATTACTTACGATGTCACGTGGAACATGGTGTAATGGTTGCAGCTCCTTACAAACGTTGTGTAAAACAAAAACTTGGCGATTAAAAAGAGTGCCGGAGAGTTTATTGCCAGTTCCTCTCTTCCGTTCTACGCCCTTGATTTGAGAACTGGCAGTAAATTAGAAGCATTTAATAAATGTTTCTTTTTTTGCCGTTCATAAGTGTTCATTGTGTTACCTTTATGAATAAATGTTTTTTTTATTTTTTTTATATATCGTCTAAATATCAATAAATATCAATTTGGGGGCGTCCATAAATTACGTGAAGTGTTTAAGGGGGGGAGGGGGTCGAGTCAAATCTCATTAAATCTTACGTTGGAGATAGGGGGGGTCTCGGCAAATATCACGCAATTTTTTTTCGGATTGAAAAAAAAATTAGGAAAACGGTTGACCCTAAAGGCCATCTTTGCAACTTCCCG